CTGGCATTGCATTCTTGATAAGTTGTCTTTGGCACTGAAAATGACTAAGAATAAGTTTTACTATTTGGCGCAACTCTTAAAGTCTTTTGGACAACAATATTTGCAAATTTATACAAATAAATTACTTTCTCTGGTAAACAACATGGGTCATTGCCCTTATCACATAAACACTATGTAGTCTTAAGATATGTATAAACATTTGAGCTAACAAGTTAAAATATTTTACACTGCACTGTAGCTGCAACAACTTTCATTAAAGGAATCAAAATAATAATAATAATCAAGAATTCATAAAACTGAATAATCAGTTTTTGTAATTGTTGCACACACAAAAATATATTCTGACTTCACAACCCAACAATAATAATTCACTACAGAAGTAGAAGCTATATTGAAACTGCCAGCATTCATACTGTTCTACATTAATTACTATGCAATTTAGGATTTCCAGTCATCATGTATTATGTCTTTTGGCCTGTTCTGATTTGAGAGTAACTACTTAATTTTATAAGATCTTCTTGGGTGATCAGTGGTGTCAATGCTAAGTTAAAAATCAACGTTTCAGAAACTATTTCACAGTCGGTGTGAGGAATGACCAGAAGTCAGTGATGCCTCATCCCTGTTGGCACACTGTGCAACCAGAGGGTGGAGTCAACTTATGTGGTCCCCCTCTCGCACTTTAGGTTTGATACTGTGTTGCTTAACTTGGAGCTTGATCCTCTGTCTGTTGATGAGTCTTTGCTTGCCATTGAATTTTCCAGCCACCTCAGCCTGCCATTTGATATTATTAGAACTGTCTGTGGCATTGGTTTGTAATATTTTGATGGTGGGTTTCATGCTTGGCTAAGTTTGAATCCTTCTTTTCTATTGATGTTATTTGGGTGCAGTTATATTTCTAATGCCTCTTTAACTAGTTGGTCCATATACCTCATTGTCCTTGAACTTGATTTTGTGGCTCAGTTTTGAGTTGTGCTCTGCTACTGCTGATTTGTCCAGTTTAGATGGATGCAGATGTTCTTATATATAGTCTCAGTGGTTTAGCCTGTTTGTCCTACATATACTTTTCCACATTAATGTGGTATGCTGTAGACCCCAGAAACGTTTAATCCTGTCATCTTTTACTGATCTTAACATTTGTGAAGTCATCTTATCCAGAATGTAGACTTTTATGTTGAACTTTCTCAGTAATCTGCCAGTCTTGTGTGGTGCAGTGTGGAATGGTAAAGTGGCCACCCTTGATGATGGAGACTGAGCAAATGTATGAAGTTTTGGTTTTTAGTTCAGCATTGACATGCCCGATTGCCCGAGAGGGTTTTATAGCATTCATTCATTGTGAAAGTTTTAAATCTTACATGACTAATTCAGTAATTTATTTAACCTTTAAGATGACAGTTATGCTATCTTCATGTATTATTGACTTGTACCTGGTTATTTACTGTAAAGCTTTCAATGTTGCTGTCAGAATCTCATTCAGAAAGTGAAGAGGAAGCCTTTTTTTTATGAAATGGACATATATGATTCATGTATGATTTGGGGGATGGGGGGGGGTGTATGTTATACCTCTGAAACTACTGGGGCGTTCTCATTGATTTGGTACTGAGGTCTATGCTAAGAATTACTGGGCAAATTTAATTTTGGTGAATATCATCCAAACATTGGATGAAGCTCAAATTCAACTTCAAACTTAAAAACTTATCATAATGTGAATAAATAAGGTGTCATACCAGATCATGCATTTACTGTAGGAACCAAATTACTGTACACCATAAAGAGAATTTTGGGTGGGGATGGGAAAAACTATGGGTAAATATTTGGTAGTAAACATACTTATCATGGAAGTATTATGACAGGAATGTGACTGGATAGTTTTTCCTTTTATAAATATTTCTATTTATTTACAAAAGTGAAAAATTAATATATTGTACTAGGAATGTCTGCAACATACAGTTAACATTTAGATTACATTTTCACTGGTGAACTGCAATTTTTGAAACAAAGCAATGTTTTAAAACAGAAAAGTGTGGAGGTGTGTGTGCAGTGCTTATCACCTTGTTCTTCACCTCATGCCAATAACTTGCAAGGAATCTGGTTCCTGCAGTAGTTGCACTGTGATCTGGTGTGTTAGATGCTGCAAAGGGTTAAGCCAAGTTGTAAATGAGTGTCCATCAATTAATTTAAATGCCCTTTATTTATGACCTTCAGTATATAAAAAATGGCAGGGCATTTGGTTTTTAGTACAGTTTGCTGTATTGGGTGCAGCATAGGATTAAGTTTAGTTGTAACAAATGGCTTCCCATAAATAGTCTGAACTTGTTGAACATACAAATTGCAGTATCAATACAGCTTCCAGTTTGATGAGATACTGAGCATATTTCTGGAATGCAATGTGAGCATATCAGTTGCTTGAACATCAGCAAAAGCTACCCTAGTTCAAGTGAGTTAACTTATGCAGTCTTATATTAAGTAAATATATTGCCTCTGCCGGCCTCTGGACCAGTGTTGTTGTGCTGATCATTGTTAAGGTTATTTTACATAATACATATAGGTATCTGAAATTCATAGGTAAAAAGCCTGGTGAGTCTGGTTACCTACCAGAAATAAATGCAAACAGGTCATACTTAAGAAATAAATGCAGTGAGATGCATAAGGTAAATTAATTATAAGCATTGTATGTGAGAGTTAAGTAAATGCTTGTGACATAGGCAACCCAGTAGGCAGATGACTTGCTTATGTAACCCCCTATTCCTGAGTACCGAACATTAATCTCTAGTACAAAAATATTTGTCACACATCTTTGTTGCTTTCTGTTACTCCACTGTTCATTTTATTATTATTGTTATTCATTTATTTGTTGTGTTATTATTATTTTTTTCCTTAATCATATTTTATAATAACTGTGGTACTGTACATAATTAGATGTTAATTACATTCATTGTAAATTTACATACATCTTTCCCCCTTTCTCACCTTGTCCACATAGCACTGACTACATAATGTGTTATTGCCCTAATTATATAAATTCCCTGAGTTAGTATCATGTTTGTTTATATTTATTTTGCATATTTTCTTCCCCTTTTAACCTAATCAACTTAATTAAATTAAATTATTATTATAAAGATATTGATATATTTAGTAGCAATTTTCTTTTGTGTATTAACTTTATCTACACTCACATAATTTCTTGAAAATCTTTTTGTTGTTATTTTGCTATATGTATTATTGTGCTCTTTTCTTGTGCTCTATCTGTAATTTGCCTTCAGGATTTTGATGCAGCACACTAATAATAAAGAACTGAATTGAATTTTATAATAGTTCCATTGTTATAAAATATTAACAGTAAAGTTTGCATCAAATTAGAAACAGCGTGCCAAATTTTGGTGTGCTAATAATGTATCACATGACTTCATGGGCTGCATATTTCACAGATACTTAATTCTCATATACAGTACAATGTACACTTTCAGCTTTTTAAGTGGCATATATGTAAGTTATATGTAAATTATGTAAGGTGAAAGAAGGAAAATCACTGATGATAGAATATCAGACTCTGGTTTCTTTCATTGCAGAAACAATAGATTTAAGAGCAACAAAAGTTGTTTTTCCAGGAAAATGCTGGAAGTTTTAAAAAATTCCTAAATTTTCTGTCCCATACATGAAGATTAAAATATGTAAAATGAGAAATGTTAAATAACATTTTGATATTATCACAATATAAAGCTCTACTTTGCTATATTGTTTAGTTCAAGAGATTTTAGCACAAGTGTTGATGGATCTTAACCATTGAAAAATACTGTGCATTACCACACTGATCATTGAGTACTTAAATGTTATTATTAAAAAGATGGTTGCAATACTGAAATAAACTTTACTATCAAACAGCAGAACAAAGATCATTTGGCAGCTTCATTATGAATAAGATTTCATTATTTTGTCACATGTTCTTATTTACTGTTTTGTTCTATAAATATTAAAAGAGGAAATAAAATTGTCTTTGCCTAAACACCCTGCTATGAAGACATAAAAGAGGCATGGAGGTTAAGTTCCACTCATTAACCTTAGCATTGGATGAAGGTGAATGGTTAGCCCTACCCTCAGGAAAGAGCCTCTGGTATCAATTGAATATAGGCCGAATGTGTTGACAAAGAGAAATGTATTTGTATCTGTCATGAATCAAATCTTGGTTGATTTCTAGCTGTGGTGCAGTACAAATGTGTTTTCACAGTGCAAGTATGGGGTGGAAGTTGAGTCATTCTGTGCCAAAACTGGCATTTTTGATGTGAAGTATAGAAGGAATATTATGATGGGAAGTTGTAAGGAGGAGACAACTAGAAGGCAGATTTGATTTTGGGAGTTATTTTAATAATGCTGCTGTTGATTGGAGGAGTTGAGCTAAATCCAGGTCTGCCAGGGGAACAAGACAAGTTGATCTAGATCCTAATGTGTGTGAAAAATCAGGTGAAGGAGTTCAAAGTGATTAAAAGATTATTAGAAACCCACAACAGTGAAATTAGTGACATGAATTTTGAGAAACTGAGTGAGTTAGTAATTGAAGTGATCAGTGATTACAAAAAAAGAAGAAGAAAAGACAGAGAGCTGGAAGGAGGACATAGATTGGAGGAGAGAAGAGACAAGGGTTACTTTGACACATTAAGAGTTGTGACAGTGTTTTTGAGTGGGACAGTGTATCTTGAGGCACAGAATAGAAGTACTGACTATGTGATTAGGCTGGGGAGAAGAAGAGGAGAGTAACCAATACGAGTGAAACTGACTACATTTGCAACAAAAGTGGAGGTGTTTAGGAATACCAAAAGTTTTAGAAGGCTTGATGAAGACTTCATTAGAAACAAAGAAAATTAGGGGGTGATCCCATTTTTAAAGAATGCTAAGAGATTAGGGCACAGCTTTTCTGAAGAAGGACAAGCTGGTAGTGAATTGGTGGGCTTATATATGGATTACTTGTTAAAGAACATTCAGATAGAATAAGGAAGCAGGGCTGTGGGCAACAGGCTCGAGGGATGACAGAAAATTACTCAACAAGAGATGGGAAATGCGGCAACATTGGATTTGTATTGGAATGTTCAGCAAAAAGAGAGAGAGTGAGAGTATTAAGAATATGAACAACAATATCTAATTTTGTGTTAAGTGTGGAGGTGATAAAGTGACATATTTTGTTAGACAAAGAATATGGTTGTATTCTGAGTTTCAATCTGTTTAATATTGTTATCAACAATGTTAGTGATTATATTAATGGAGGTAACATACATGCTTCAGTAACAGAAAGGATGTCAATCCCAGGATTGCTGTTTGTGGACTATATCAGAATTGGTTAATTTATGGATAATGGGTTACAGAAAGGGATCGAGCAAATGGTGAAATACTGCAGAGACTGTAATTTGAAGGAGATCGAAATGTTAGTTTGTAAGAAGGGGGTAAGTTCAAGAAGTGTGAGAGATGGTTTATGTATTACCAATCAATAGAAGTTGAATGAAATTACTTAGCACAGGAGGTTGGAATAAGCATAAATTTAAGCAAATGGTAAAAGGAAATCAGTCCTTAATAGCAATTGACAAGTGTTTATTAATAACACCTGATATAAAAATGAAGCGTTTAGAATATGTGTATGATAGTGTGTGTGAGTCAAGAGTAATATATGGATCAGAGAAATAGGGATTAGAAGAGGGGTAATAGATGATTGTTACAATTCACATGAGATTTTGTAAAAAAATCCTTGGGATACTTAGATACACGGTGAATGGGGTCACTGAAGTCGAGTTGGGAAGAGACAGTAGGAGGCATAAAGTATTGTGTATGATTGTGAAATATTGATTAAAAATATTACAGATGAACAAGGACAAATTAGTATGGGTGTGTTATGAATGGCACATAATTTAAAATTTGGAAGCTGGGAATAGAGAGTGAGGGAAGAATTAAGTAAAATAGGGCTGGGATGTATTTGCCTAGACCCAAAGGAAAAGAGTGTGGGTGGAATATGCAAAGTAATTAAAGAAAGATGCAGTGATAATAGTGCAGCATAATCAGTTTGCATATATGAGAGAAAGGAGGTCACTAATACACTATTGTTTGATGAAACTGGAATGTGCTAGGGAAAAATACAGTCTGTATTGTTAAAGGAAGGTGGGAGGTGGGGTACCATGGCTTAAGAATGGTGTTTGGAAACTGAAAGGGATGAAGAGTGGAGTTGAAGGAAGATGTCCCCTTTGTAGTAAGGATGAAGATGCTGTACATATACTATTAAAATGTTTGGAAACAATGATATGGAGGGAACAGCTTTTGTGTAGAAAATGGCTTACTGTCAGTGAAGAATTAGCATACAAGAAATAAACTGTACTAATGTTGTAGAATTATGAAATACTTTGATATGATTATATATAAATTAGGGAACAAATATAGGAATTTGTAATTGGAATTGAAGGAGGGAATAGAACTATAACAGTAAGACTGAATATATATAGTTAGAGAATGGGACTCTTAGTTATTGTTATATTATAGCTGTGGACTGCAAAAATTCAGGGTTAAGTTAACACAGCCTCAATATGCAGATCTGAACTAATAAATGATTGATTGATTGACTGACTGACGATCAAATCTTGGTTATCCAGCCAGTAGTTTTTGCCTTGCTTACTCTTACCTGCCTAATTATATTTTCCATTTCAAAACAATCTAATCTGTGTTGATTTTAAAATTTTATATCAAGTGTTTTGAATGTATATAGGAAAGAATGGAAAGGAAACTATTGCTGAATATGCTAAGATTGATCTATGATTTGAAAAGCCATAACCACCAGAATGTCAGTAAGTGTCCTTCCCTTTCTCAGATTATTATGTGGATTTACTTAACCAATTTTTCTTGTTATCCACTCTTTAGCGTTTTGTTTTACATTCCATCCTGTATATCAAAATGGTATGTTCTCCTGTTCATACATTTTTAATGTTAAGATCCACCATGTCATCATAACCAGTGGTTCTCAGCCTTTTCTTATTCAAAGACCAGTGAAACAGCCGTAGGTTTACCAAGGACTAATAATCTGTATCACATTGTACAGTATAAATAATAAATTCAAAATCTGGTTATTACTAGCACATGTAAACATGTTTACATCCTACATAAATTGGAATTATCTTAGAAATTAGTTAAAAAGATCTTTATATGTTATTAAAATGAAATGGCCATATTAATCTCCCACATTGAACATTTATAATTGAAATTGTGCAATATGACATGAAATAATTTCTCACAAATCTCTCATATTATCAGGGCAGCATATACTGAGAAGAAAGTGGTCATAATTATCTTACGTAATATAGGTATGTATACATATATATTGTAACAGTAAGAAGAATTCGCAGACTGCAGAAGTTAAGTCATGGACCACAGGTTGAGAAACACTGGTCATAACTGTAAGTGCCACAATACCATCACCACCACTATTACACCGTCTCATGCACTGCAGATAAATTTGTAATAAACAGATGAAGTGATGATACTTCTCATAAGCTTCCCTCAGAAAAACTGCATTAATAATCTTTGTGTATATTTGCTTTGCACACCAGTGTATAGACATGGTTTATCTCTTGCATTGAAATGGCATTTGATCTAATCTATCATTAATTTTCCACTCATCTCCAACATTGAAAATTACAGAGCAATAAGTTATAAACTACAAATGTATTTTAGAAATGACTGGTATGAGATCTTAATTTACTCATGATTCTACTGTGTTGCATATAAATTCATACCTGAAAGTAAAAGTGTAATTGTATAATACCAGTGAATAACACATAATATGTAATTAAGCTTGCTGCCTCTATAAGACTGGCAGGAGTTTCTAAGTTGCCATGTGATTTATACAGATGCAAATGTTCACTGTTTTAATTTTTACAAGAACTTAAATTATATTAGTAGGGATGTGTGAACAGTCTGAATCTTAAGAAGTTTGTTAATGTATATTTGATTTTGTACAAAGAAAAGCCCATGGTTACTGTCTGACCATACACACATGAGGAAACTCCACCCAGGCTAGATTTTAGGAAGTATTGACATCTCTTACCAAACTTTATTTAAGAAAATAATATTGCTTCACAAAGGTAAGTATGGATTATCAATTTACGTGATACCTTACATTTGGAAAATTGTGTTTTTAAACATTTCTGTCTACTCACAATTCAGTGTTAGAAATCATAAATAAAAGTGCAACAGAAAGTGGTAATTTTGGATCATAAGGGCCAGCTTTACGTGAAGACCAGAAGTGATTTTGAGTGTCACTTGATATTTATTAGATTATTTTATATACTGCTTTTAAATGTTTATTGTGGGAAACTACAGCTTCAGAATGAAACCAGTTCTAGTAAGGTGGCAAGCTTATTCATGTTTTTTTACTAAGTTTCATGCTTTAAAGATGCAACTTACAGGTAGGAATTATTATGCAATTACTGGAATATTAAATAAAGCAAGAAAAAGAGCACCAACTCTACCAAGGGTCTTTGCAAAAAGTAATGGGAGGAGAATGACAGATACATTCAGTTATTCTCTGCGTATTAACAACATCTGCAGTGTATCTGGTATTATCCTTCCAATGGGCACCAGAGTAAGCTTTCTTTTTCTCATTTTATCTGATATTTATTTAACCTTACCAGGCTTTTTCCTGTGAAATATTCATGATACTCGGAGACGCAAACTCATAGTTGTTCTGCCTATTCGTGTGGTCGAGTGGGGCAGTTAACAATTCTACCTCATATATATGAAGTGTAGGTGGTCCCTGCAATATTTGTAATAACAATGTTGAGGGCAAAGAGAATACAAAGGCACGAAGCAAATAACATTAAATGGTAACCATTTGAAATAAGACCAGTTTATAAATTAACATTACTAAGGACTAATTACAGTAGTAATGTGAATTTACCTCAGATGAATTGTATGTTGAAGACTAACTAATACATCACTGTCTTTGTTATGTAACACTTAATCAATTCAACTTCCTGCAGTGCCATAGCAGACTAGTAAATTAATGGAAATATGTGGGTATTGTGAAGTATAATTCATGCTTTGTTATATTCTGTGACAGCAGGACCTACTTATAAGCTATAGATGGATAACTGTAATGCACCAGTTGTGTGATTCCTTCACCACCATGAAACAAAATGACCCTTATTCTATGTTTTAATTTTGATTCATGAATTAGTGTTTTAATCCTGATCTGTCGAATGAGTTTGAAATTTTAAAGATAAACTTGGTAATTTTTAAAGTAAGTTTAATAAACAAATGCTTGACATTATTTGAAAGAGTTGCTGGAATTTTTATAATTGTTTCTTAACTTCAGGTTTAAAATTTACATGATCAAAGTCCATATTCCTTCAGAGTTAAATTTCGTCCATGAAAGTTTCTCCTAGTCAATTGTTCAAATACATATTCCTCTGTTAAAAACTTAAATGGGGATGTCACTGTAATAAATATCTAATTAAATCACCTTAGAACAACATAATGCTGTAGATGATTATGCTGACATATCATTGAGCAGTGTATACTATATTTGAAGTATGTACCTGTCATCATGAACAGTGCAAAGGTAGAGATGTTTTGTTCATAAGGAATATGTAGAGATATCTTATTGGACAGGAAAAATACTCCTTGGTAATATGATTGTTAAGAGTGGTGGAGCTATTCCTACAGTGGGGCATGTGCTTTCATGCATTGTGGGGGGTATTTTAACCTTTGGTGATTTAGTGAACAATATTTATACCACAGAATTTCTCACTGTAGTTGTCTCTGCCTAGTGCACATGTCTTTTATTTGTTTTGTTCAACTGACTGTGGGCCAGAATATTCATGAAAAAAATAATGTAGTTATAAAAACTGTTAAATAGCTGTCTGTTATTCATACTAACTGAACATAACTGCCTGGTCCAACGCCAACAACACCAGAGCCCACCACTAGACACGATCCTGAGCTAACTCCATCTATTTTCCATCCTCACATCCCACCTTCCTAAGATCCTTGATATTATCCTCCCATCTCATTCTTGGTATGCCCAGTGGTCGTTTTCCAGAAGTATTTCCCACCAAAATTTCCCCCAATGCGTGCTACATGTCTAGCCCATCGGAATCTCATAGATTTCACTGTCCTCACTATGTTAGGTGACCTGTACAATTCATGCAGCTCCTCATTATTTAATATTCTAAATTCCACACTTTTCATCCTTGCTAGGTCCAAATATCTTCCTGAGCACCTTGTTTTCAAACACTTATAATCTACATTCTTTCTTCAAGGTAAGAGACCATGTTTCACAACCACAGAAGACAACTGGTGAATTTTTTTATATATCATGGTTTTCAGTGTTTTGGATAGCAAATGGGATGATAATTTTTTAATTGAATAAAAACAATATTTTTCCTGAACGTATTCTGCTCATAATATTATTATGGACCTCATTTCTATGTTATTGTTGCTCCCAGATACTTAAATTTTGAAACTTTTTCAAATGATATGTTACTTATAATTATGTTCTGCCATTGTTGCTGATGTTGATTTCATATTACACCCATTTGATGATAAACTGTGTACTGCTGCAGATAGCAAGATTAAATTTGGCATGGAAATTGTGTCTCAAATTCTGAATGAAGTTTGTGTGTGCATGCATTTATAAAAAGAGAGATGATTGCACATAATTTTGGAATTAGATTTTATACTTATTATGATGACTTGGACCAGCATTTTTAGCCTTTTCTACTTGACATAACCCTGGCCTCAGCAAGGTTTCTGTTCTGTAATCATTGGGAATCTTAATGTTTATGTCAAATGGTGTATAATTGTGTACTTTAAAATGACAAGATGTTCAAAGAATATTTTTTAATTTTAAACAAACTTAATGTATTGCATGATTGACAGTATATTAAATATATTTTATGTACCCCCCAATGGAGCTTCGCATACTCCCTGAGGGTACAAGTATCCCTGGTTTAGAATCACAGACTTAAATTACAGACCTTGAGATAGAATTTCTAGGCCAGTATTGGCATCATGTTGAAAGTTGACAAGAAGGTGGTGATGTTACAGTAATTCAAAGAACATGATGGTTGGCTTCATAATAGATTGTTGGTGCATTTATAAATTTTGTACAAAATCTTTTGTGAGTCAGAAAGTAGCAATGTGGTAACTATTTACTCACAAAGATATCTGTGATTTACCCTGCAAAATTATAAAAATTAGGAAGCAAGGTTTTGTTTGCTATGGCACTGTTTTCTAAGGTTTAATATGTGGATTCAGGTTCTTGTTTAAAGGCAATCCTAAACGGGTGCTCTTGCTCAGATAAGTGCATGTCACTACGGAGAATTACCACGGGTGGTTGGCCAGGTGTAGTTCCATTGCTCATCTGTGGGCTACCTAGGTGCCCATTGGTGAGCTGCATATGTTGTGGTGGACTGTTGCACTGTGTTGAACCCGATGGGCTCCCTGGTGACCCTCCAGAACTACCTTGATAACTGCCTGTAGTATTTGAGGTGTTGTTCTGTTGAATGGTGCCATCTGCGGTGGCACCTGTGAATACATTTAGAAACAGCAAATGTAGTCATAAGAACTTGCCCAGAAGGTATGAATAAGCAAGCTATGAAGTGTAATAACTCTGAAGGAAATTTAAACTTTTTTTTTTGTTTACATGGGCAGTACAATTTCATCAACTGGAAGAATCCAACAAGAATTACAGAGAGAATCTGTATAGCTGGGAAATTTAATCAGAATTGGAGATAGCATCTGGAATTTTTAAATGTCAGAAAATATTAAAGTAATGTTATATGAAACATGTTACTTGCCTGTTTTGACATACAGACTGCCTAAAGAGATGCAGATTAAAAGCAGTATCCTAGTGACAAAGTTTTACTAGATATTAAGAAATGATAAGGAATAAAAGGAAACAAAAACAGACAGGACTGGAAAGTCAAAATGCTGCAAGAGAAACTGGTGAAATTAAGGATACAGTAGTTGACACTGAGATTTTGTCAGAGCATTTGAAGTGAAGATGTTGAATGAATAACCATTTAGGAGGTAAAGGAGTAGGTGCAAAGACCAAGTTAGAGAAAATATTCTTATTTAATGACACTATCAGCAGCTCAGAGCATATAGCATTGAATGGCAGGATGATCAGGGTCATTACCTAATCTAAGAAACTATCATCAGAAAGCATAACAGCATTTATTTGATAAAAGAGGGTAATAAGATTAATGTTAGGATTACATAAAAAAATCACCTAGAAATAAATTTAAAAAACTTAACATTCTCCATAAAATCTTCTCGGGTGATGAGCCACGACAATTGGTTAAAAGAACAAACCGACGTTTCAGGGACACTGATGAGAAGTGGCTTAAAAGAAGAAAGCTCCAAATTACGTAGTTTTGTGGATGAAAATCCTCAGTTTAAAATCAAACAAAAGGCAAGAAACAGAAGCAAAAACAAAGAAAGTCCCATGTAATGTCTAAGAATAGAAGGAAGAACCTTCAAAACTTAAAGAAAAATGTATCTGAGACAAACCTGTCATAGCTTTCTATAAAAACTGACTTGAAACTTACCACCCAACAGCATTTCTTGTAGCAGACTATCAATGCGTGCCACACCAAACAACTTGGCAAACTGGATCTGTTCAATCATCTGCCATGTGATGGATTGCAGGGCAGGCAGTGTGAGGAGGATTTCTCCAAATCGGCCTCTTGAGTCATATTGTCGGTCACTGATATAATCTTCTAAATTTATCTGGATCTGATAACGCAGACCCTTAATTCTGTTTGAATCACTCAAACCTTTTGCATCTGAAAGTTAAATAGAACAATTAAATGAATTATTACCTGTATGTCTATGATAGAACTTCTGTCATGTAAATGTGAAGAATTTTCATTTTTATTGTAAAGCAACATTGCCAGCTGATCTCAGGATGTAAATTTTATATAGTTTTCAGTAAGTAAATCAGGATAGACTACGAGCTGGACAGCGGAGACTTGATACCTAGTAGGAACAGTAATTTACTCCTTCACCAGAACCATACCAGCTCTAGGGTTCACCCAGCCTCTTATTCAGTGGGAATCAAGGAATTTGTTCCTAGAGGCAAAGTGCCTGGAATGTGAAGTTGTGAATTTAACCACTCACCTCCACCTATTGCTGAGGTCTAAAATGTGTGGAGTTCTGCTTCTCTGTCTTTGTGGTATGGTACGTAGACACAGGCAACTTTAATTTTACCTTCTATATATTTATTGGTATTGGTATTATTGTCTCCTATGAGTTCATTTGGTTCTTAACTTATAAACCAGAATTGAAAATCAATTTGCAGAGTATAGTGCAAGAGCTCAATTTTATACCATATTATATAAATTGCACCATTAATACCAGCATGACAACTTTACAAAATAAATGTTTTGACTCATTTCTTTGTTAATTGTAAAGTATTGATTCTGATCTAGGTCTTGGTCTGTCTATTAAGCCTCTTTACATGAGGATTTTCAGACTAATTTGGTATATATTGGTTTGCCAGTTATGCTATATGTGCTATAAATGTCAGAACTCATGATTCTGTAAACCTAAATTTTAGGCAAAGATTTTAAATTTTAAAAGTCTTCATGTCATTCTTACAGCAAAATACATACATGCATGATTTCATAATCATCCCAGTATATTTTCAATCATAATGTTCTTACCTATTCAGAATACAAGGTCTTTCTTTGTGGAAGTAATACATGTTAATTGCTAGGTATAATTCATCTGAAGAGAATGACTCTAAACTTCAGTGGAGAGGGAAGTAATTATTTTCCACCTGTACAATTGCTTTTATCTTTCCAGCTGTTTACTGTCAGTACACAGTATTTAAAATTAAATACAAAACAGACCAAGTGCAAAGTACACAAATACTGCTGTTGAACATGTGTAGCATCACCTAGTAGAATATATGATGCACATAACTAAAATGGCAAGAGATAAGACATGAAATATGCACAGATAAAAGCATGAAATACAAAAGTGGCTAGGAGTGTAAAGAAGAAATAGTGACCAATAACAAGAGAAACAGGGCAGTATATACATATGAAGCAGTCAGGAAGACTAAATAAACAACACGAACAAATCTGTAAAAATGAAAATTAGTATGTGGACTAATTTAATGACAGTTGAAAAGTGTTTTGATTAAGATTTTAGTGTGCATAAATAATCATAGAAATAAGAGATGTTTTAAAATAATGGACCTTCAATTAGAAAGTTCTTTATTGCATGGATCTGTGAAGATGTCTAAGGGACAGATGAAGGATGTAGGGTGAAAAGAATAAACTAAGGTTTTAGAACATCAAATGCATAAATTAATTGTCAACAGTATAGTGGTCTGGAGAATATAAAGTTCACGTATAATAATGCTGTCTATCAGAAGTTAAAATATGTATTGATCTTGAACATATATTTGATATAAGCATTTTAAAATAAAAAACATATTTGGTGCAGAATACTTAAATCTGCATTTGAATGCCTGGTACAGTGAATGTGTTAAGAAGTGTTTGAAATGGCTTGCAGATTACATATGAGATAAAACTATTGTGTTAAAAAATATATGTTAATTACTTCATCTTGTAATTGTGCATGGACACCAGACAGTTCCTATATTCCTTGTTACTTACTTGGGTCGAAGAAGACAATGGCCTTGAGGCAGGCAAATTCTGTGTCATCTATCTGCACTTCTGTCATTGGTTTGACTAGCTCGTCCATGACACGGGTCCCAACACGACTGATGTCTAAGTCTGGTGACAACCCAGAATCTGAAATGTATCTTCTCTTATTTTAGAAATGAAAATGGGACCATCAGGACAATATTCATGACTGGTAACTTGTACCAGTTGTAATAAACCAGTTATAATAATTACTTTCTGTGTATATATGAGAATACATGTGTAAACATTTATGCACAAGCCTCATTTAATCAGGACTACAGACACTGGACATCTTTACTTCTAGCATTAAGAAGAAACTTATTTGGCAACCACAAAACTGAAATCCTGTGCTTCCTACATAGTTTTTGTAGTCTAATACTATTGTAGAGTATAGGCAGTTAATGAAGCATGTTTACCTGGACTGTGTCGGCCAATGATACAGTTGTTCCCTAGCAGCAGGACATCTTTGAGGTGCATGGAGCGACGTGCCAATCCAAGCAGGAGGTGTTCTCCTGCATGTGCTCGTAACAAGGCCACCTGGAACCAACATGGTAGTGAAAATCAGTTTGCCATATACTAGTCCACTTCGAATGTTAGTATGCCTTCTCTGAATATCATTGGTATATGTGATTCAGACCTTAACTAGGCTGGTAGGGAAGTTTTGCATTCATTATATTAGAATCAGATTAATGAAAACTTGTTTAATTTCTGTGATATACATTACAATTGATAGAAAATCGTAACAGAAACAGATAAGTAACATTTCAGGAGCCACTGATACATCAAATATTGTGATTAAAAATTAATATTCTGAGTAATTACAGTTTTAAATAAAGAAATATGAATAATAAACACTCCAATGTGTAATTATAAAACGTAAGAGAGAACTTTCTCAAAAGTATCAATATTGAGGCAGCAACAATTTAAAAAACAATGCAAAAGATGAGATGACAAAATGAGGTTGAACAAAATCTCCTTGTTACTACCATACATTGTGAACTATTGTTCAGTGTGTAGGAATATATTTGTTAATTCAAAATGTCACAGTTCACTGATGCAGAAATTGGTCCTTTCTTGTGCTCACAGTTTTAGACTTTTCAAGTGGTGTGTACCTGATCATCCAGTGGTAGTTCTGTGAAAGCTGGGATGTATTTGGCCCACTCTACAAGAATCAATAACTGCTGTTTCATTGAGTCACATACATCGTTGATGTTGGCAATCTGTTTGTTTGATAAATTGTATTCACTATCTGGAGAATTCATCTGCAACAAAGGAATACTGTCTGAGAACTTAAGTTCATTCTTGTTGTACATTTACCTATGCACATTCCTACACCACATGAATTATATTAAAACTGGAGCAACAGTTTGCAAGTATCATTAGACTTATTTATTTCTGTGCTTCCAATTTTAAAATGTGTTTATTTGTGTACTAGTGATGGAGTATGGAGGTGCACCTACAGTTTTCTCACAGTCTTTCTAAAATTTAATTTTTGACAGCTTACATGTAATGATTTATGAAAATGGTCTGTCAAGGAAAGTACCACTCTCTACTTCTTGACTTCTTTATAAAAGCATTACATAAGCAAACATTTTTTCTGAAAAACTGAGTAGACTCTTATGTGAAGTCAACTGGCAACAAAAGCTGGCACTTTTCTCCCCTCACGCCATTTAAACTATAAACTAACGGTGTTTCTGTGGCATGGCATAGTATCTTGTCTATCCCATTCACATAACTGCAGGGTCATACAATAGATCACATGACATGAGGTCTAACAATTGTTATCACAGTTTCTTCTACTCCATTGCTCTGAATACTTGCTGCTACCACTCTATCTGGTGACAAAATTATTATTTCACAGCAAAGAATTTGAGTGCTGTACCTACACAGTCTTGTGAATTATGATGTAAAATATTGTAAAACAACAAAAATTAGTCACTTGCTATAGCCATTATAGTGCAAAGGAAATTAGATATCATGTTACCAGTTTTTTATGCACTGATACACAGTACTAGCACCTTTTCCATAGAATATGAAGAACTGGTAACACATTAAAATTGTTTGTGTTACACCACACTGATGTGGCACATCTGTACCCCACATATTTTACATACCTCAAGTGCTGCACCAACCTGACGTGAAAGCATCTCTGCATTTAGCAAGGATGCACATGATAGACCATTTCCTGATGCTTGTTCCTCGTAACTTGGCCTCCGAGAACTGATACGATCTCGCTCATTTTGTACCGCTGAAAGTAACAGGAAAATTCTATGACAGTAGATCATATAATCATAATATACACATTAAATTATAAACATGGCAGTGGTGTAAAAGTCTGAAGTTACATCTAACAAACTTGACATATTCAGAATTGTATTATTATATCTTTATTTTCATTGTTATGAACATTATCTTATATCTCGTTTTGCTTTCTCAGGAGTGAGAATAGATAACTGTAAGAAATAGTTAATTTAGAGTGTTGTGTATGTGAAACATTTTGAAAAAATGTACAAACTGACAAATGGAGGATATAATTAATACATAACAAGGGTCTTGTTATTGTTACAGTACTCAAATCAATAATTGGCTTCTTTGAAGCTGGATATAATTTAAATTAATGAATGAATATGAGCAGTGGGTTAAAAAATAATCCAAGCATTTCTTTGCTGTTACAGTGAATGTAATCAGGTTGAGAATTTTTTAGTTAAGTGTGTTAGCTACTAAAAGTGGAATTGAAATTTCTGATAGGCTGCTGACTTGCCTATAAAGCAGAAAGGTGTGAACTTAGCTGAATCTATTAACCCCTTCCATAATTAATTTTTTTAATGATACAAAAAACTTTTTTTTCTCATATGGAATATACCCATACAAATGAAATTGATATGTGTTTTGATGACAAATATTAATTATATTGTACAAAATGTTTTTAATTCTAATGATTATTATCCTGATTTCATTTTGGCCATGTTTTGTTTATATCACTTTCTATTGTTTGTAAAATTTAACTTCTTTACAATCATAGCACACAAATGATAACTGCAGCTGGAGCAGGAACTTAATGATATGTGCTACAGAAGTATAAATGTCCTTTCTATTTGTATGTGATCTAGCATAAAAATATTTTGATGCAAATGACTTATGAAAGTACAGCAATCTGTCATTTACTGATGTATAGAGTCGTATATATGTATTGCCTTTATGACCTGAATTAAATCAGTTAATGGGATGGAAGAAAAGATTGTTCCATATTAACTCGGGTTATTATTTTATTGCAAAACTCAATCCAAAATATCTCTAAAATGAGAATTTTGATTCACTGCATAAACAAAGGTTATAGTGGGAAATCAAACTTCTGTATGCATTTGTTTCATATTATAAAATATTAACTAATTCATTCTCTTGCAGTAGACTGCAAAGGTTCAGTGCCACTAATACCAGAACCAGCCATTTAACTCAATTCTGAGCCATTTTCATCCACCTCCCATCCCCACAACCTCTTTCTCTATGATCCATCTTAATATCTTCTTAATCTTCCAAGTTACCGCCTACCTAGCTGTATACATTTCTTGTCTACAATATCATTGAACCCAAAGTATTAAATACGATATCCTTTCACTAACATTTGCTATATAATAATATATTGTTTATATTCTTCAGTGCAGGAGTGTAGTTACAGATAATAGTTTTACTAATCAATCAATAGTAATGCTATGGATTTAACTGTATAACATTTGTTCTCCTTGTATTTTTCTACACTAATTTGAGGCCACAGTTGTTATTATCAGCCACTGAAGTGCTTCATTATCTTATCTCCCCTAACTTTAATACTACCTCAGCCACTGCCATATTAATTTATTTACTGAATGTGCACACAGCTAATTACAATAAAATCTCTCATAACTGTCACTTCTTTACAGCAAACAATATTGTATCTAGCAGACTACATTACATTAATGGTCAGAGGTAGTAGTAGAGTTACTCATATGTTTAGGCACCATGCCATAAAGGTATACACAGGGCATACAGATAGTTTTGTGCATTCAAGTGGTTAGCACCAACTAGATACAGGTGAGAGGTTCATCCTATGGTCACTGATGAAAGAGCACCAGGTATTCACTGGGTGGGTGGGCCTCACAGCTACTGTAGGCAAGACTATTAAAGGAAAAATCCCTGTCCCTGCTGAGAATCATGTATCAACTGCTGTGGTTATGCAGCATCAAATGAAATACAAGGTCTGATCAACAAGTATCAAGATTGAATTCATATATCATGCAGATGCAGTAATGTATTCTGACATTTTACTGCATATCAGGGCTTCTTTACAGCAAATCCATTGCTTCAGTTATTCATGGTCAGTGTTTAAATTCTAAGTGTGAATTATGAATAGGGAAGGATGTGGTGGAAAGCAGTCAGAACATCTTTTAAGGCACTATTTTGGCTCCAGAATGGAAGGACTGAGGAAACCACCAACATCCTTATTCACTTTGGTGAAGGGTTGTATAAGAAGCTCACCATGTAAAATAATGTTACTTAAACTGTGCCAAAGATATGATCCAATAGAAACTATCAAAATAGTAGATACTGAATTATATTTATTTAATGTAAGTCTTGTGTGAATGTCAGTGAATGGCCCCCTTCCAGTCTAAATGTTAAAAGACATTCCCATTTAAATTACGATTCCTGGTCTTTGTTCTGATTCTGTTTCTTGGGTTATTCATCTTAACATGAAAAAATTAATTTTGTGTGTGTTTGTGTGCATATGCACCATTCAGCACATTTTCTGACAAACAGACTGGCTTGTTAATCATCAGTTGTATGACGAATCTTGTGTTAACAGGTTCTGTTTTGCTTCTGTTCAATAATTTGTACTTGTTCTGTTTAGAGGTTCTAAGTTCTGTTGGGTATTTTTTATACATATCTTTTGTGAAGTGTAGAACAATGACAATGCTCATTCAGTAACAGTATCATATTATTATTCTTTATTATGTAAACTAAATAAAAAAGTAAAGCTGTCCCACTATATGCCATGTAGGCGCTTGGGGGGGGGGGGGAGAGGGCAGCTGTGCTTTACCCCCAGGAAAGGACACCGGTACCCATTAAATAGGAGGCTGGGTGGGCCCCAGAACCAGTCTGGACGCAGAGGCAAGAGGAAAAATCTTGTTCCCCTGTCAGGGATCGAACTCCGGTCATCTAGTCTGTAGCCAGTCGCTATACTGACTGAGCTACACTGGCTGACATCTTTTCTTAATGTGAAATGAAAAGTGCTGGATTTTTATTTGCACAATATTCCTTTTCAGAAGTTCATTGGCCTTGAACTGACCCTATATGTAATAGTACAATTGGATAAAAACTTCTTAGATCAACAACATTTTAGGTAGCAGTAATAAGTGACAGGTTACAAACAAATGAAAGATTATGATAACAATTGGTTACTGTGACAAAATAATATATATAATAAGAATGAAGGATTAAAAAATATTGAGGCAGTAGCCATTTAACAAAGAAACAACAGCACAGACTTGTGATGTGATGGTACAGGGCTGAACAAGATCTTACTGTTAATTGCCACATGTTATGAACTGTTGTTAAATGTGTAGAATACATCTGCATTGATTCATGGCAGACATAGACTCACATAAGTACTGAGTTTGTAACTTAAGTGCGTGTGTGTGTGTGTGTGTGTGTGTGTGTGTGTGTGTATGTATGTATGCATGTGTGTGTATATAT